AGGCACCAGTTGTAATGAGAAACAGCCAGGTTCTCATCTGCTGAAGGTTGGCTGGGGATTAGAGCATCCTTAATGTCACATTCAAAATCTTCCACAACAATATCTGCAATACGACGATATTTAATTTCCTTTTGAACTAATGGAGGTTTAGGTAGTAAGACTTGTATATAAATTGGAAAATGATCTGAAATATAAACAGTGACATTGAGGATTAGGTCAGGATTTGTGAAGACCAGATCAAGTGTGTGACCATGAGTGTGTGTTGGAGTGTTCACCCACTGTTTTAAATTACACGAGTCCAGTAATTCTTGAAATTTGTGAGTATTAGAATCCGGTGATACATTTGCCCAGTGAAAATTGAAATCCCCAATAATAGATAAATTGCCAGTGTATGTAGATGAAGATTCAAGAAGATCTCCAAATTCATTGAGGAATTTAGAGACAGTGAATTTGTTCTTTGTGTTGGGAGGTGGAGATACACAATAATGACTTTAAAAGTAATTCCATGGTAACGCAGAGTGACTTCAACAGCTTCAAAGGTAGTAACATTCTGTAGTGGCTTCCAGGTGGTGACTGTAATACTAGACTTAAATATAAATGCAATCCCTCCACCAGTTGATTTCACATGCGGAAAATGACGGTAAGTGTATCCAGCTGGTGTAACTTCATTAATGATTGGTTCATCGCCACTGGCTTTCAGCCATGACTCTGTGATTGCAAGTGCATCAATATTATGTTCTACAATATAGTCAGAAATTAGTGTAGCCTTATTCCGAATTGAATGTACAATATTAATAGTTTATTGTTCACATGAGGAATATTCAGATGTAACTTAGTCTGTAACTTTCAAATTTTATTTTCACGTTTAAATATATCCACAAAATTTGGTGTGATTTGTTTTAATATGACATTTTATTTATCTTATAAATATATACAACTCCAAGGGCGTGAACGATGGAATATAAATATATATGTTGCGGAAACATGCTCCATGCATTTAAGATAGTAGGGGAAGAGACAAGTTTTAATTAAGATTTAACTCTTTTGTTTCAAGCCTTTTGTTTCAAGTCTTTTTTCTTTTGAACTCATCATTGCGTTCACTTATTTACTCAAGATGAGTTGACGACAGACTTCGTTTCTGTAGTTAAATTGATGATTCAAATTGTATAACCAGGGTTACTAGAAACTGTGGTATAACCCAGCGTAGGCAAAAACAAAATGGTGTAACAAACAATTATGAGACAAATTAACTTGTGGGATGAATCATCTTGGAACGAATCATCTTGTGGGATGAATCCTTCTGTTTGTTAACTTGCGTTCTTTTCATAGCGTAATTCGGAATCAGGAATTTTAATGAGTGAAGGTCGTACTACAGTACAGACTACAGTAAGACATGTCTTTTTAGCTAGCATGTTATTTTAGCTGATTTAGCTAATTCACAATTTCGCTATATTAAGATGTCGCTAATTAGAAAAGAGTATATTCTTACAGTGAGATTATTGGTACTTTAGCTAATTAAGATTCAGTTAATTCATGCATTGAGTCAAATTCGCTAAAACGGTATGTGGCTATTTCAAAGTGTTCTGCAGTATTTCCTATTGTTTTGATTCAGTTTTTAGTCTAGAAACTTAGCAACATTGTTTTTTTGGTAAATATAGAACATGTTCTAAAAATTTAGATATACCAATTGATAATATCATTAATTCAGTCCAGCGGTTAGATAGGTTATTTATTAAAGACACCTGGGAAACCAACATTTGCAATGTGAATCACTCCATCGATGAAAAATCAGTTATAATAGCCAAAGGGGTGAGAGACTGATTTTAAAAAAACATTTTATATATGGGGTACATAACAGACACCCAAAAACACAAAGAAGGCTGTATGCAAGTCTAGACATGAATAGCAATAATTTGAGTTACATAGTAAATTTATTGCCTGCTCACATTGTCTGCATTTACCGGTAATCTGTTAAACCATGGAGGTATAAACATTAAATCCAATCAATATATCCTGAATATTTAAATAGTTGTATTATATTTTAGTTGCTACTTGATGCTGCAGTTAAGGTCTATAGAGAATGTTGTCAAGCTTCGTCTATAGTGAGTGCATATATTGGATGTGATAAGGGATCTTACTTCAATGTCAGCTCAATATGCAGTCAAAGAGATCTGGAACGGAGTGAGAATGTCAAATTTGAGAGAAATTATACTGTATTACACAAAGATGGAAAAGTAGAGAATGTTTTCATAAATGGTGCTCCTAATGAACTAAATTCAGTGTAAGTACTATGGTTTGTGTTTGGCATGTACCATTACCTGATTTAATAACGTGATAATTGTGTTCAATGTATCGCACATAGAATGTGTATAAAATGTATTGTTTACAGAACCACTGTCCTTTAAGTCAATTTACAGTACCACTGTCCTTTAAGTCAATTTACAGAACCACTGTCCTGTAAGTCTGTTTACAGTACCACTGTCCTTTAAGTCTGTTTACAGAACTACTGTCCTTTAAGTCTGTTTACAGAACCACTGTCCTTTAAGTCTGTTTACGGAACCACTGTCCTTTAAGTCAATTTACAGAACCACTGTCCTTTAAGTCTGTTCACAGAACCACTGTCCTTTAAGTCTGTTTACGGAACCACTGTCCTTTAAGTCTGTTTACAGAACCACTGTCCTTTAAGTCTGTTTACAGAACCACTGTCCTTTAAGTCAATTTACAGAACCACTGTCCTTTAAGTCAATTTACAGAACCACTGTCCTTTAAGTCTGTTCACAGAACCACTGTCCTTTAAGTCTGTTTACATACAGAACCACTGTCCTTTAAGTCAATTTAATAATACAAACATTCCAGATGACATGTGATACAAAACTTACATCAGAACAGTTGTTTTGTTTTCATTTTGTGATAAATACAGATTACGCAGTAAAACCTCCCCATCTGGTAAATTTACGGCTGTGATTCGAAAGATAACACTGAAGAAAGGAGAAGACAAACATTATGTAGAGGTAAAGATTTTGTATTTGCAGATATTGCTTTTCTCATCATGTGTGTCAAAGGTCAGGACTTAATGAAGGAAATCATGTTTTTTTTTTCTGGTGTTTATAATTGTGAAATAGACTCAACATATACTTTTATGGAATAAATTTGCAATAGTCACTAATTTTCTTTGTTAGGTTTGGGACAGCAATCACAAAATTCAAAATATTGATGTATTTGCACTTGAGAAGCATGGAAGTGTTTATGAGGATGGTAAGTATATTTCTGAATTTGCTGATCATATCTCTGGGTTTGATTAAATAGGTTGGTTGCTGAGTAATGTGACTATTACAAAACATTTGTAATTGTATTTTAACGCACTGAAATGTGCACTCTTTGTCTCCCACTCCTTTGACCTTTATCAGTCAGCTAGCTCACTTCCACCCTTGATTATGTAACTTGTATTTACTTTATAGATCATTCCCCAGTTTGTGCTACTGTAGAATACTTTATTTTCGCTTGGAATTTATTTTCGCTATTTTCGCTGAATCGATGATTCCGTGAAAATAAAATCCAGCGAATATACTTTTTTCCGATATTTCACATTAATCTCATCAAAAATTAGTGAAAATAAATTCCAGGCAAAATGCCCAGAAAGCCTTTTCAGCGAAAATTAATTCCAGCGAAAATAAAGTATTCTACAGTATTTTAGTTAGTATCCCATGAACCATCATGTGTTTACATTTTGCCATCTTAGCTAATCACGTTAGTGCATCCACGGCGTCCCTTAGCCTTGGCTACTCTCATCGCATCATTCAGTTCCTGCTTTCACACAGTGAGTATCGTTCAAGTTTCCTCCCACCCTCCCATCATTACAGTTTGCTTCATCATTTTGTAATTTTTTTTTTTCCTCTGTGCTTATTTCATGTTTTGGTTATTTATCAATAAATACAGCTAGGGGGGGGGGATTGTCACACAGGGAATCCATACTCTGTTTGGGCAACACGTCGCACTTGCTCCAAGATGAGTTGAAAGTTACAACTCGTCGCAGGACATAGGCCTCAATGACGCCTACACACAGAGTACCCTTATGGGGCGCCCTCACTCAAGTACCACGTCGTCCTTACCATGATTTTGGTCAAAGGCGACCAATATCATGGAATAGACGGCTAAGACGCTTACACGGTGAGGCTCTCGATCCCCCTACTTTTTTCGCATATCAGTCTCTTATGTCATTTCTAGTGCGTTAACACCAAAATTATTCTTCTACAGATCAATTTGGTTGTCTGGAATGGTCCTCAGATGAGAAAAAATTATTGTATGTGGCTGAGAAGAAACTACCAAAGACATCATCTTTTTTTGACAAGAAAGTAAAAGATAACAACAAAGATGAGACTGTACCAGTATGTCAATCCTCATACAATCATACTTAGTGATGATGGTTGCTATAATGATGTTGTGATATAGTAATTGTTTTGGACATCTTTCCTTTATAATATAATATAATGACTTTCTTTCAGGGAAATCAGTTTGTTTTCCATGGAGACTGGGGTGAACAGTTGGTTTCTAAGAGTTTTCCTGTTTTATGCATTCTGGATCTGGAGTCAGAAGAAGTGACCATTTTGGAATCGATTCCACATGACATCTCACCCGGTCAAGTAAGAATCTGGATCTATTTCATGATAAAGTGTTCTGATCAAAATCTTTGCATGTAATTCAAAATCTTTGCATGTAATTCAAAATCTTCTTCTTTGTTGACCAACGAATTTAGTGAGTAAACAGATTGTCTGGTGATCTAACCCTGTATGATCAAAATGTGTCTCACACATTTTAAATTAGTCCTATACATTTATAATTCAGAAATAAAAAATGAAATCAATATATTTTATTTGTAGGCAATTTGGAGCAATGGTGACAAATGTGTGATATTTGTAGGTTGGTGGCATGAGCCTTACAGACTAGGTATTATATATTGTACTAACAGAAGGTAAGATGGCCATATGGTTTAGTGGTTGTGTAGGTGATGGCTTTCAATGTAACGGCCTGTTTGACCAGCAAAGTAAAAAATATCCAGTAGCATAATAGTCCATGTCCATTCATGTCCTTATTCTGATTTTGACTGAAATACATACAAAACATAGTGTGGATGGTTGTTATGATAATGAAACTAGATGTTTTAGCAAAATGTGATTGTCAAAGCTCACTCTGGCACTATGCTTGTCTGGAGCTAGTGGAGGTCAAATGTAAGTCAAATTGCATTAAGGATGTAGTAGATTTTCGTGGTGATTTTTTTCTTCATTTTTTTTTCTTTTATTAAATGGTGACTTATACATATAGGCAGCCATATGACCTTGCTTTTTTATTAAATCACGTTTTCATTTCAAGAAAAAAACGGCTTTTTAAAAAATAAAAAATAATTTACAATTAACAGAAACCCCGGGAATGTGCACTTTAGCTAAGCCCCTCTGAGCCAAAACAATAACATTGTAATTAGCTTAATCCCGCAAATAAACATCGCGTGTACGCGTCCAGTCAAATGACCGGATCCACTCACTCGTTGCTGATAGTTCATCGCATCGCTTTTCTCTACTATATATTACTGTTCATTTATTTTGTTTTGACCAAGTTTATTTTGAAAAATGGCACAGGCAAACAATTGGAAAAAGAGTGTTCCAATGACAGGCGAAACCTGCAAGTTTCTGAATAGCAGAAACCATATTTTTTATGACGAAACACAGTCCCTCTACAAAACAAAGTCGGACGAGTCGACAACAGACAAGTCGAGTGAAAACCCAAGTGGCATCTGCTCCACCGCACTGTAATTCACAGCAGTCCTGTCGGCAATCTTGACTGACTTCCAAGCGGATTCAGTCAGCAAATAGTAGGCCTTTTTTTTACTTCAATTATGATTTTTAATTGATATTCAACAACAAAAGTGTCATCGCCGATATTTAGTAAAAATAAAAAGCATAGCAATTGTCAAGTTTGTTGTGATATTGGATAACACTCGAAACTAAGCTTGTCAAGCAAATAAACTTAAATTTGATAACTGGATTACACTGTTTATTCAAGGGCGGCCATACTTCGTTTTCACGTTGCTTTTTTCAAATTATCAATTTTTTAATAACTTTATCGGCCATGTACCAAATGGTTTGATTTGATTTTTATAAAACCAACACAATAGCTATCTTAAACATAAAAAAATAACTGAATACAAATTGTTAGTCATTAATCATTATTATTATTTTTATCAAGCTTTTTCTGTTTTGCCCAACGAAAGTCTACTACATGTTATAATACACAGATATGCAAAATGAAAAACATAACAAATGAGGCACATTTTTTAAATCTATAGAAGTTTAATATATGAATTCACTTACTATACATGTTGCACTCCAGCAGTGCTGGATGTGAATGAATTTTTTAGTCCCTGTTCTGACGAAGTCCGAAAATGGGGACTTATAATTCGGTTTCCGTCCGTCCGTCCGTGCGTCTGTCCGAAGTCATATCTCAGAATCCCTTGGGCCGATTTGGTTCATTCTTTGCATGTGCCTAGTGCTTTATGTGGGACATATGCACATGTAGTGGTTTAGCGATTCGATTCATATAAGCCGTCTGGCAGCCATCTTGTTTTTTGAAAATGTTGTATTTTGGACATGCTTTTTCAGTTTTCATTCAAACTTGGTACATAGATTATACATGTTAGGATACATGTCCCTGAAGATTTATTTCACAATTGGATCAAAGATAGCCGACTGGCAGCCATCTTGTTTTTTGAAAATGTCGTATTTTGGACATGCTTTGTCAGTTTTCATTCAAATTTAGTACATAGATCATACATGTTAGGATACATGTCCCCGACCATCTGTGAGTTCCTGAGTCTGTTCGTCCGTCTGTCTGTGCGTCAGTCTGTCCAGAGTCATATTTCAGAATCCTGTAGACCGATCCGTTCATTCTTTGCATGTGCCTAGTACCTTATGTGGGACATATGCACATGCAGTGGTTTGGCGATTCGATTCAAAATGGACGACTGGCAGCCATCTTGTTTTTTGAAAATGTTGTTTTTTGGACATGCTTTATCAGTTGTCATTCAAACTTGGTACATAGATACTACATGGTCGATGGTCGACTGGCAGGCATCTTGTTTTTTATTTTTTATGCGGTATCTTGGACGTGCTCTGTCAGTTTTTATTCAAATTTGGCATATACATGTACTTTATACATGTTAGGATACATGTCCATGACAATTTGTTTCAAAATCTGGTCAAGGATGGCCGATTGACAGCCATCTGACTTTTTGGCCTTACTACTATATTTCCACAATTTATGTACCATTTTCATTTGTATTTGGCACATACATCATGCATATCAGTGTGTTTCATAATGAGATCAAAGTTGGCCAAATAACGGCTGTTTTTATTTTTGGTCATATTACTACTACACGGAACACGTGTTTTGATGTAAATAAACAATCTGTTGTATACGCCACTTGGAACTCAAGTATCAAGGACACGCTCGCGACAACCCCTCCGCTTTAATATGACGAGTACAAAGAGAACTTTCAAAAATTTAACGGGGACTGTGTCATTTTCAATGACTTGTTTTAATTATTAATTAGACTAAAGTGAGCTCATATTGCACACTTTATACTTACACTTGTATACATGACTATGTATGTTCACATTCATATGCACAACTACCGCACAGACACTAATTTACATACCTCGTAAGTTACATACCTTTGTACACATGACTTGACTTGATGTATTTTACTCTGTAGGAGTGCAATCTTTTGTGTTAATCTTGAAACCAAGAAATGTGGTAAGTATTAAAACTCCCTTAGAAGCCCTTCACCAATAGAAGCACATGTAAACATTTTGTCCATAGACCTTAGAAAGAAATCTCACTGGAATTAATATATGTGCATGCAATGCTAATAGCGCAGATATGATATACGGTTACAGACTTGTTTACATACAAGTGGTCCTGTTGAAAATCAGTTGGTGTATTAATGTGCTATATCTTTTTGGTTGTCATTCACAGAAATGATAAGTGATGACTGCAATGCAGTAAGGTCACCAAGATTAAGTCCTGATCAAACTCAGTTGGTGTATTTAAAAAATCAATACCTGGGACCTCATATGCAGTGTAGTAGTCTGCTAAAGGTAAATCAGTCAGTCTACATTGGTCATTGGTCTACATATCTCACCGTTAATTTACATATTTATTTATTTGTTGCTGACCATTTATAACAGGCTCTCAAAAATCTACCAAGAATAGGAGCTGTATAAAACTTGTACCTAAATACAAAGCCTTGTAATAACAGAATACACATCTTGTTAAATAAATTACATAGCTTGATAGATTCAAGTTTAAGACTGATGTTAATAATATTAGTTAAAACAAAATTTGGTATTAGTACAAATTTCATACAAATAATTACTGGGATAGAAAATTCTGTCTGCAATAAAATAAGGTTGACCTCTTTATCATTAACCTTACACAGATTTGAATCATATTGCTATTTTTCCTAAGAGAATGAACATTTATTTAGCTCTTCATCTTGTTTAATTTCTCGCAATAGATTTGTTTCAATTTTCCTCATGAAATTTTCACTTACTTCACCACTCATAATGTTTCTATGTGTATCAACAAAACTACATTTAAACATAAAGTATTCTCATCTTCCTTCTTGCAACATGAGTTTGTACCATGTCTGTCATATGAATATCAGTCATAAAAGATAGTTGAGACATGAATGTCTTGTATTGGCCGTCATACAATCAACACAATCTGTAACACCACTGTACTGATGTAATCTACCATCATACTGCCACAACTTAAATTGACATGTATAAATACAATGTAGGTAATCATTGTTTCCTCTGTAATCAACTCTTTTCTTTGGTGTCTACCTCATCACTTACCAATGGGGCTGTGTCATTTTCAATTTTCTTCAAGTCATATTCTATGCTGGAGTATGAATAGTCCATGCTTTTGTGGGTCAAATGAATAAGCAGCTACACTACAGTGTTGTAGTCATGCAGTGATACACAGACCCATTTGAACCAGTATGAATATAAAACATGGTGGTAGCTGTAACACATTGTTTTGCAATTAGATTCAACTTTTTATTTGTTCTATTTTTGACTCCCATGTGCGAAGCACACAATGGGAGTCTTTGCAGTTACCGGTAGTGTGTCTGTGTGTATGTGTATGTGTGTCCATCTGTTCCACTGCTATCCATACATTGGTTTTTGATGAAACTTAGTGTATAGATGCTCTGTGTTAATGCGCAGATTTGATTAGGTTTTGGTAGAAATCCATGCATATTAATTACCTAATTTGCATGATAATTAGCTAATTTTTAGCTGTTCCATGACTTTTCCACTGATATCTGAAGAACCACTCATTCGATTTTGATGAAACATGGTACATATATGCTCTGAACTTATGCGCAGATTTGACTAGTTTTTGGTAAAAAAATTGTGCATATTAGTTACCTAATTAGCATAATAATTCATAATTTTTTGGTTCTAATCTCATTTCAATTAAACTTTGTACATAGATGGTCTGTTACATTGCGCAGACCTCATTAGTTTTACACTCAAATCTGTTCATATAAATTTTCTGATTTGCATAATTAGTTTTCAGCTTTTTCCATCAATATCTCAAGTACAAGTAATTTCGAATTATTTTTAATGTGTCTCCAATACTCTCAGCACATGGGTGTTCTTTCTAATCTTTCTTTGATTTCTGTGATTTATTGATCATATACCTTGTTGGG